CCAGGTCTGCAAGCTAGAGCAGGCCCCAAACTTCTGAGCAGACTACAACGGTGAAGAGAAAAGATTTCCAAGAATACTGTTTTCCTCCAAGCTTGAGAGCTCAACAGCCACAGGGTATGGTGGGGTGGGGGGGATGGAAATTAGGAGACAGAAAGACCCAGATTCAGATCCCACCTCCATCAACTATTTGCTGAGTGGGACCTGAGCCTCAGTTTCTTCATGGATAAATTATGGCTTTAAAAAAAAAATGGGACTTACCTCCCAAAGATGCTGCTAAAACTTGATAGGGTTTTAATAAGCTGAGGAGCACAGAACAGACAAGTTATTAAAGAAAATTAGAAGGCAATGGTGACTGCAAGACTTAGACGGAACCAAGCCCTGATCTTCTCCCAGTGAAATATCGAGGCTGGATTCCAAGGGCTGAGAGCACAACTCTGAGAGTCCCCCTAAACCTTCTCTCATTCTAGCGGTGGGGCTGGGCCCTTCAGAGGGTCTCATGGGAAGGAAGACATTCCAGGGACCTGTTGCCCCTTTTCCACTTGGATGAATCTTGGATGAAACAGGAAGGTGAAGTATTCCCCTCTGCCTTCCTGTGCATCTGTTCTCCAACTTGAACATGAGAAGTGGACTGTAAGCTCCCGAAGGACCGTGTATTAGCTCTGTTCCCTTGCTGGCACCTAGCGTAGGGCCAGGCATGTAGCAGGCACACTAGACATATTTTATTGAGAGGACCATTTCTGAAAATCAGCCCAAAGATTTGAGTAGAAAGTCACCAATTTCTACCCCCTAAATTTGTTTCTACGTTTCCCAGAGGGCAAAGAGCTGTAACTCTCAGCTTTGAATCTTAAGTGACTATACGCTCAAGACACACATGAGATCTAAAGACTCCCCTGGTGGTTTTCAAAAACAAGGGAAGTCAGAGAAGCTGTAACAGACAAGAGGAGCCTAAGGAGACAGGATGACAAAATGTAAATGTGGTATTTTGGATGGGGTCCTGGACCAGAAAAAGGGCATAGGTTTAAAAATGGGGAAATCTGAGTAATGTATGGACTTTAGTTAATAATAACACATCAATATTGGCTCATTAATTGTGACAAATAAACCATGTAAGTGTAAGATGTTAATAATAGGGGAAATAATAGGTTTGGGGATATGGAAACTCTCTGTATATTTTTATAAATATACAACATTTCTATAAATCTAAATCTATTCTGAAATCAAAATTTTTTTTGAAAAGTAAAACTAAATAAATGAAAATAAAAAAATGAAAAAAACGTATGTGAGAAAAAAGAAACACCTCACTGGTGATTAGTGGTGTTGGGTGATAGGAGAGTGTGTGGGTTTTGATGAGAAGGCACCCCCATATTCAGAATCAGACCACCCCCCCCAACCCTGCAGGCAAGTTCCTTGCAGAGAAAAAATTAGAAGAGCCAATGGTTCCACCTGCTGGACATAGAAGTATCTGCTTCTGAGCCTCTCCTGGCAAGGTCCCTGTGGCTCAGACCTTCATAGCTTAGAACAGATGGATAAACTGAGGCCAGAAGGGAGGAAAGGACTTACCCAATGGCACTCCCAGAGTCGCTGCAGAAGCCAGATCCCTTCCCAGATTCCGGATTCTGCCCTGGGAAGAAAATGTAGGAGAAAGAGCTCAAGTTTCGGGGTCACAGGACTGAACTCAAGTGTTAGGTCTGCAGCCTTTTTTTATGTGATAAATATTTACAGTAACTATGTGGGCCAAGAACTGCTCTGGGTGCTGGGGATGCAGCAGCGAATAAGAGAGACAAAGCCCCTGGGCTCACAGAGCCTCTATTCTAGTTGTGGGAGACGTAACAAAAAGTAAATAGTCTGAAAAGGGTGTATGGTATGTACGAGGGTAAGAAGCAGGTGCTGTGGTGGAGGGTCACGGCTCTAGTTTAGAGTGTTATAATTTAGACGGGGGGGGGCGTGTCAGAAAGTCTTTTCTAAGGAGGTATCATTGAGCTAAGACCTAAAAGATGAGAAACAGGAAAAAGAATGCTCCAGGGGTATTTAAACAGGAAGAGACTTGACCCACTTAAGGAATAGCGAGGAAATCAGTGTGGGTGGGTCAAGGCCAGCAAGAGGAAGAGTTGTTGGACAGGAGGCAAAATATGACTGAGGGCCTTTTGACTGTGATAAGAAAGACTTTATTTCATGTGCAACAGGAATCCCTTGAGATCGAAACGGGGATGATGTGATAGGATTCACATGTTTCAGCCATCCCTCTGACAGTGGAATGGATTAGAGGCTGGAGCAGAAGCAGAGTTAGGTTTCTGCGGTGATCCAGGCAAAAGGAGATGAGAGCTTTCACCCGGCGCAGATCAGGGTAAGTGACTGGAGGTGGGATACTTTGGCGACCGAACTAACGCTATTTGCTGATGGGTTTAACCTGGGGGTGAGGAAAAGAGAGGAGTCTTGTGTCTCCAACTTCAGTAACTGGGGGAAGAGTTGCTGTTTATCGAGACTGAGATACGATGACTATAGGGAAATTTGTAGTGTTTTCTGGTGCCTGGTGGGACGAATTTGAAACCTCTCTGGATGAGGGCACATCTATCTTAGGCCTCAAGAAACGTCCATAATTTGTCACAGGCACTGAGCAGGACGGTTCAGTATACCCAGACATACAGCAAGCAAGACAATATGAGCGAGAACTGGTAGCTCCAGACTTGCACAGACTTTATACACTGGAATAATCGGTCAGTGATTTTAAAACGATTATATTTTTCAGGTTTAAAGAAATAAATTATAAAGTCGAGAACATTTACAGGGAATATGAAGCAGTAATAGTGATCAAGCAGACTTGAAAAAAAGCAACAGAACCTCTAGAAGTGAAAAAGGTGACAATTTAAAATGTAAAACTCAATTGGAAATGGAAAATCGGGAGAGTCAGCAAGTCTTAGAACCATATCGAGCATATTTTTTTCGGGCAAAAATTATAAAACGTGCTGAGTGGCCCATTTGTTCATTGTCTCAAAACTAACTGCTCGTGGTCTGGGTAGTTTACTGAATCACAGGCTACTATAATCTGTACCAGGTCAAGTTCAGTGAAAGTATACAATCCAAAATATTTCGTTTCAGTTATGTGAGTACCTTGAAGGAAAGAAAATCACACTATTGATATAATAGAAACATCACTAAAGATCAGTATTCGAAGAAAAAAATTGTTGACATATACCGATATGGAGTGTAATTGCGTCATACAGTGGCAGCTGTCTAAGTGTGAGAGTTTATTATACAATGTTCCATCGCGATAACTAGAGTAACAGTAATAAATTATAAAATCTATATTGCTAAGGACATCACAGACCTGTAGAAACGACTAGATGAAGTAAATTTGCAGAGAGCAAAGAGCTCTTCATGGGTGAGCTGATGATCACGTCATCTTCTCTATTCTGGGTGCAGGCTGATTGGTTTTAGTCCAGGCAGAGGGAATCCACTGGTAGGGAGCTTTTGGGTGGTCATGAGGGGCTGGTAAAATGTACCAGAAACTAGAGGAGTCCCCAAATGCATGGCTTGTTTCCCCCCCGGTGAATATTTACTAAATTCTGGAATGGCGGGGGAGACTGAGAGGCTGAGACGAAAGCTAAAAGGCAAAATAGAATCTCCCATAGTCTCCTGGTGCTGAAGGGAAGACATGGGCTTCTGCTCGCTGCAGCACGGGGAAAAAGCACTGCAGAGTCTCACTCTGTCTAGTAAATAATTCTGCTCACATTTCACTGGCCAAAGCAAGTCAGGTAGCTTCACTTAATTTCAAAAAGCAGGGAGGTGCATCACTCAAGGGAAGGAGAGCAGAAATACTGACAGCATCGCTCAGCGTGCACCACAATCCCACTGTGCTCAAGCTGTTGACTCTTGTGGGGGACAGACCCTAAGGTGGCCCCAGGATCCCCGCCTCCTGGCAGTCACTCCTTTGTATAACTCCTTCTCCCGAAGTGTGGATGGGACCTGTCTGTGACTTGCTTCTAACCAGCAGAATCTGGCAAAGACAATGGGATGGACATGATGGTGTGGCTGTGACTTCTTTATGTGAGACTCACACTCTTGTGAGGAGACGCTGTCTCTGGCACTGAGGACATGAGCAGCCAAGGCGAGAAGGCCCAACAGTGAGATGAGGGCGGCCTCTGGCTGACATTCGAGGCCCTGGGTCTAACTGCCCAGAACTACATTGTCAACAAGCACGTGTGTTTGGAAGTGGATCCTGCCCAGGTGAGCCTCAGGTGAGACGGCTAGCCCAGCCGACACCTTCACTCCAGCATTGTGAGACCTGGAAACAGAAAACCCAGCTAAGCTGTGCCGACTCCTGACCCACAGAAATGGTGACATAAAACACTGTGTGATAATACTAAATGTGTGATAACACTGTTACACAGCACAAGATAACTAATACAGCTCTAGCTAAAACCACATGCTACACTCAGCTGTAGAGTCATCCTTCAAGTCTGCCCTTAAACCTGTTCGTATCTGTTTAAAATCAGTTCCCCTGGGAACTCCTCACTGAATCCTTAAGCTTGGTTACGCCCCTCTCATACCCTCCCAGCCCATCACGCTTCTTTGTCACAATAATTTTAACTGGTTTTCGTGTAATTATTGTTAAATGGCCGGAACTGTCTATGACATTTGTTCTTGTGTTCACTTTCATGGAAACACTGAGCCTAGTGCCTGATATATATGCCACCCAAAAACTGTTTTGCAAATGCTGTTCATCACAAGATTGTGTGTGTGTGTGTGTGCGCACGCGCATGTGCAAACAGCTAAGGACTTGGTTACGAATTTAGAACCTGGGCAAGTTGCTCTGCTCGGCTGACCCTCGGATCACATGTCTGAGAAGCAGCATGAAGAGTCCTACTTCCTAGGGCAGCTAATATCTGTCATGGTGGCTACTATCAGTACTGGTCCCTTTCTATTGAGGTCCCAAGACAGAAGTTGAGACTGGGTGACAAATGATATTTATTTAGGCTTGATCCCTTGATACAGCCATACATGTAAAAATATATAATCTAAAGTCAGGGAAATAATAATGAGGTTGGTGTCGCCTCCTCTCCTCCCCTTTGGCACAGTCTTCCCACAGGCCCCCTTCCCAGCTGCTCCCTTCAAAATCCTGGAGTGTGCGGGACAGGAGTCACTTCTTGGCAGCTTCTGCCTTAGCTGCCAAATCCGCCTCTTTCTGAGCAGCTAAGAATATGGCTCGCTCCTTCTGGAAAGCTGCCAGCTCTTCTGAACTGAGGCTAAAGGTGCAGAAAGAGAGACGGTAAGTGAGTGGCCAGTCATCAGTGGGGAGGTTTCAAGTGCCTCTCTGTCTCAGAACCTTTTCTCCCCTCTGGACTTCCC